CCAGCGCACACCATTCAATCTGTGTACGTCTCCTTTTATTTTTGTTTATGATTAGTCTCACAATTAAGGTTACCTACTCCTAGTCACACACAGGTTACTAGATATTCTTACCCGTCGCAAGTGTCGTACGGCCAGCTAGCGAGAGGACGTCAATAGCTCCGTCCGGTGCGCATACATTTGGTAGCAGGGCGTGGTTAGGAACCTTATGGGGGGTCCCAGCCAAGCGGCGTAGTGAATTATCAGCCTTTGTGTGACATATAGCTACTTGTAATCGTTCAAGATGGTCGAGACCAAGAAAGAATTCGCTGAACGCGAGGAGCGCCGTCGCGCGATCGCAGCCCTGAAGCGGGAGTCCGCGATTGAGGGTATAAAGGCGGTGCATGCCATGATACCACGCGCGAATTCCGAGCCGGACTTCGTACCCGAATTTATTTTAAATGTTGACGGGTTAGATGCGGGGTGGTCTCAGTATGAAGCGGAAGATAACACGGTATTAGAATGCCTTGTTAACTTAGGTAAGGCCAGTGAATATACTCCCGGACAATCGGGTGAATTACGAATTTTGATTAATTCCGCGAAGGCTGCCGCGAATTTACTTCGTCCGACTCGCACAGCGCCCACCGCGGGCCAAAACGTCGGTAACTCATCGTCCGTGTTCGACGCGTCGTCCGGTCCAACGTTACCGCGACTTCCGGAAATCCCCCTACCGAGATTTGGAGGCGATTTTCGCTTGTGGCCGACTTTTCGTGATACATTCACTAAGCAAGTCGATAGCCGCCAATACCTGTCGAACGTAGATAAGTTATATTATTTGACTGGGTGTTTGCACGGTGCAGCCTTGGATGCGATTCGCAGTATACCCGCGTCCGATGATAACTATCAGTTGATATGGTCAACTTTGTCCGCGCGTTTCTACCGCCCGCGTATGGTCGCGACTTCGCTATTAGAAAAAGTGTTAAACGCGCCGTCGTCGTCGCAGGAGTCATTGCACGACTTAACCGTTTTTTTATCTACATTTGACGAAAACATTTTGTTATTATCCGCGATGGACATTCCCGACCTCGGGTCGTTCATTCTGTTTACGTCGGCTTTCCGTGCGTTACCGCTCGCCACTCGCAAATTATTCGAATCCACCATGACAAGTAACGACGTTTATCCATCAGTCGATAAACTGCTGAAATTCGTGCGGGATCGTATTACCGTCTTAGAAAATGTGGGCGAGCCGCGGAAGACTAGTGCCAAGCCGAAGCCACAGCCTGTTACCGGGCCGTACGTTAGTCACCGCGCGGGGAAAAGTAATCCCGTGGCGCTCGTCGCCGCGAAACCAACGGAGCGTCATTCGCAGACTACTACCAGCTCATGTTCATGCTGTCAGGGTTCGCACAGCATCAGCGCGTGTCCGAAGTTCCGATCATGGTCATTGGACGATCGGAATCGATGGGCCCATGAAAATAAAGTTTGTTTTAATTGCCTCAGCGGTAATCATTTTATCCGCGCCTGTTCGTCCAAGTCGCGATGTCACCAGTGTTCGAAAAAACATCACACGTTGTTACATGGTGTTACTCCCAACCGTCAAGAGGAAGGCGGTGAAAGTGGGGGGGAAACACCGTCGTGTTGCGCGGCCGCGTTGGCACCGCGCCCGAGTGCGATACCAACGGTTTTGTTAGGCACTGCGTTGATTCACGCTCGCGACAGGGCCGGTACGTGGCAAACAGTTCGCGCGTTGGTCGACTCCGCGTCCCAGATAAGTGCCATGACAGTCGAGTGTTCCACCCGCTTAGGATTCCGGCCCCGTCCGTGGACCATGCCAGTCAGTGGCATATCCGGTACACCTGTCGTCAGCGTGAAGGGCATCGTCGAATGTCACATCCGGCCGCGTTTTGCGTCCGAACCATCGCTGACTGTGCAAGCGTGGGTGCTGCCTTCAATCACTAGCGACATGCCGCGCACCTCAATCCCCGTCGACATTAAGGACCGATTTTCCACCCTCGCGCTCGCCGATCCGCAGTTCAACGTCGCGTCACCGGTCGACATGTTACTCGGGGCCGACGTGTTTTCAGCGATATTGGATGGTCGTCAAATCAAAATCGACGAGGCACTGCCCACGGCATTCAGTTCGATTTTCGGTTGGGTCCTCATTGGACCACTTCCAGCGACCGCCACTTGTCATGTCCTCACCACACCGGTGTCATTAGCGACATCCATCGAGACTCTAATGGACAAGTTTTGGTCAGTCGAAGAACCGGACGCTGCACCTCCTTCCTTCACCGACGACGGTTGGTGTGAGAGTCACTTCCGCGCCGAACACACACGTTTACCGTCTGGGCGATTTCAAGTGCCGCTGCCGACGCGTAAGCCGGTATCCGAGTTGTCATTCCCGGGTTCGCGTTCCGTCGCGCTAAAACGTTTTGAGTCGCTCGAACGTAAGTTGATGTCTAACCCGACTCTGCGCGTGGCATATTGTGCCTTTATGTCTGAATACTTGTCGCTCGGCCATATGTCCGTGGCAGCGACACCGGGGCGATATGTCATCCCCCACCATGCCGTATGTAACCAGTCCAACGGAGACTTAAAAATCCGCGTTGTGTTCGACGCTTCGGCAGTGTCCCATGACGGGACGTCACTAAACGGCTGTCTAATGCAAGGTCCGAAGTTACAGCAAGACATCGTCGACATTCTAACCAGGTTCCGGGTGAACAAGTACGCGTTCACCACTGACATCTGCAAAATGTACCGGCAGGTGATGGTGGCGCCCGAGTACCGGCCGCTGCAACACATCCTATGGCGTGCGTCACCTCACGACCAGCTTGTCGAATACGAATTAAACACCGTGACGTATGGCCTGAACTGCGCTCCGTTCTTGGCACTCCGCGTGCTGGCTGCGATCGCCGAGGTGGATTGCGTCGGTCATGAGGGAGTACGGCAGGCGTTGCTGCACCAAACCTATGTCGACGACATATGTACGGGGGGCGACACAATCGACGATGTTTGTACGCTCCAAAGGGAGATGATCGCGGTGCTCGGCAACTCCGGTCTGGAGTTGAAGAAGTGGTCGAGTAACTGTCCCGCGATCCTCGACAGTGTACCCGCGTCCGACTGTGTGACCGGTCCTTTATCGTTCGATGCTGTGGATGGGATCGGGGTCAAGGTTCTCGGCTTGCAATGGCAGCCGACAGATGACGTTTTTAGGTGTGCCCTCCGGTGCGATGCGCCACCCGTATTCACAAAACGCGGCGTCTTATCATTAATCGCGCGTATTTTCGATCCGTTGGGCATATTCGCGCCGGCCACTTTCTACGCGAAGCACATAATGCAACGGACGTGGTCATGCAACCTTGGCTGGGATGACCCTCTTCCGAAGGATCTCCATCAAGAATGGTCCACTTTCGTTGAATCATTGGCCTGCCTCCTTCAGATTAACATTCCGCGACACTTCAACACGCAGTCCGCCGACCGTTGTTTATTGTTGGGATTTTGTGATGCGTCACAGCATGGTTGCGCAGCTGTCGTATACCTCCGCGTGTTGGACGACCGGGAGGACGTTTCGATTTCGTTGGTCGGCGCAAAAACCAAGCTAGCGCCGATAAAATCATTGACCATCCCGCGGCTCGAGTTGAACGCCGCTGAGTTGTTGGCGCGTTGGTTATACCGCGTCAAGTGTATTCTCGACCGTCAGGTCAACATCGTCGGTGTACATGCTTGGACGGACTCAACGATTGTCCTGTCCTGGTTGGTCAATCGCCACGAATCGTTTAAAATATACGTGTCAAATCGGGTACACAGAATTAACACGCTACTACCGAGTTGCGTATGGGCACACATTCCGTCCACGGACAACCCCGCCGATTGTGCTTCGCGCGGTGTGTTACCGTCCGAGCTTCCAGCGTTAAAGCTTTATTGGCAGGGCCCTGAGTTTCTACGTCGTTGTCCGTCATCGTGGCCGGTCGGGGCCACCATGCTGCCGCTGAGCGATTTGCCCGAAGTGCGGGTTTTGTCAGTGACCGTCGACGATCAACCTCCCGTTGTTGAATGGTTCGACGAGTTTTCGTCTTATGACAAATTGATTCGCGTTGTCGCCCGTGTGTATCGATTTATAGATCGTTGCCGCCGCCGCGCATTGGTTACGCGACGGGCGGTCCTCACCCGTTATGAACTCGACGCGGCACTTGATGCGCTGGTGATCGAGTCACAGCGTAAGTTTTTTGTACAATTACGGCACGAGTTATCTCACCGTCTCCGTGTGTCGTCCAAACCACTCGGCCGTTTATGCCCGTTTATTGATCCTTCCAGCGTCATTCGAGTGGGTGGGCGATTGCGTCACTCGATGCTGCCATATGATCGTCAGCACCCGATACTATTAGCAAAACATTCACGCTTGGCCTTGTTGGTGTGTCGTCATTGGCATCGCATCAGCTGTCATGCCGGACCTCGAGTCGTGACCGCCATTGTGTCCCAGCAATTTTGGATCATGTCTGTGAGATCAGTGCTACATCAAGTCAGCAGTGAGTGTACCAGCTGCGTCCGATTTGACCATCAACCACCTCAACCGTTGATGGCTGATCTGCCACCAGGCCGTGTCCAACAGTGCCGGCCGTTCGCGCGAGTGGGTATTGATTTCGCAGGTCCATTGCAGCTACAAGAGACCCGCCTTCGCAAATCACGGTCGTATAAAGTGTACATAGCTGTTTTTTGTGTGCTTCGCGGTGAAGGCGTGTCACCTCGAGGTTGTGACCGAGTTATCTACGGCCGCGTTCCTTGCCGCATTCGACCGATTTGTTGCTCGGCGTGGTCTGCCATCCGACATTTTCAGCGACTGCGGGACCAATTTCGTGGGTGCCGATCGACAATTGCATACGCTGATCAATAGCCCGGAGGGACAATCCGCGCTAGGCGACTCTCGTCCGCATTGTTCCTGGCATTTCAACCCGCCCAGTGCGCCACATTTCGGCGGATTGTGGGAGGCTGCGGTCCGGTCGACAAAAAGGTTATTGATTCGCGTCATGGGTCGTCATCACTTCACTTACGAAGAATTCACGACGGTGCTGTGTCGAGTGGAGGCCGTGCTCAACTCCAGGCCACTCACACCGTTGTCATCCGATCCAGCCGACTTGGACTACCTATCGCCGGGACACTTTCTTATCGGCCAACCACTACTTGCCGTGCCGCCTCGGACATCGACAGAGGACAAGTCTAGTCTGGTGAACCGGTGGAAGTTGTTGGACCAATGTCACCAGGCGTTTTGGCGACAATGGTCCACCGAGTACCTGACCACACTGCAGGCACGCACAAAGTGGTCGAGCGGGTCCCCCAATATCCGTCTAAACGATGTCGTCGTCATCCGGGACAACCAGTCTCCCCCATTGTCGTGGCGAATGGGACGGGTGATCGCACTGTTGCCAGGAGCCGACGGTGCAGTACGCGTGGTCCGTTTGCGAACCGCCCACGGCGAAGTGACTCGCCCTGTAGTGAAGTTGGTCGTCCTGCCCACCGAAGGGACCTGCCCAGGTACCCCCTGTTAGGTGATACCCACGCTCTGTTCGCCTATGTGTTTTTCCCGCTACATACGCGAATTCCATTATATTTAAGTTTTTTTTGTATACTTGTGCTACTGTAACAGCACCCCCCTTATTTTAGTTTATATTTTGTTGTATTTTTTTTTTGTTGTTTGGTGGTAAGTGGTAACAGGCCAGAACTGACTCCGTGAAGCTGTCGTCATCATCCAGTTATACCAATGCATCAGCGGATGTGAGGCTGCGCCTCCCATGGGGGGGAGTATGTTTGTGCAACACCACCGTTGCTCCGCTGGACATCGCGTCGGGTGTCGAACATTCGCGAAGTTGACCCCCCGACCCCCTCCACCACCCTGGATCGCGCCGCGTCGCGCTTCCAGCCGCGGGCTATCGCCGCAAAACTAGTTCTCTCTGGTACGTCCGTCCGTGCTTGGCCGGTCGTGTGTTTCGTTTTTGTGTGTTTTTTCGTACCCGCGCCATATTTGACCGTTGTGTTGTGTTCGTCCCCGGATCCATCCGGAGTACGCGTTTTCTTTCGTTTTACACGCTTACAACCGTTTACACGCCGTTGTGCATACGCGCGTGCTCTCGCATAGTTTTTTAGTCTGTGCTCGGCCGTTTCGACCACGTTTGTGTCAACGCGCCATTCCGGTCTTGTGGTCAGTACCGTCGATTCCGAAAGTCATTCACCGTACGTGTGACTAACCACCGACCGCGTTCTTATTATACTTTGCTCGATTGTCGCGTGGTTGAGTGCGTATTTGCATCCCCGTTCGCCGGTCCCTAGTGGTTCGTGATCGGCCGATTTTGTGTTGTCACGTGGTTTCCCACTGTGCCCGGTTCCCTGCTGTATGCCGTTACGCCGCGAGCGCCGCATCAGGCAAGTGTGCCAATTCGGTTATCGCCGGTGCGTCGATCAACTCACCAGCCGCCGCCGTTGCTGTCCGTTGGTACCAGTGTCGTCGTGTCCAGGAGTCAGTTGGTATCAGTCCTTATCATCATCTTCGTCGTGCAGATAAGACCAACCTTGTTATTGTATATATATTATTTTGTACATCGCCATTCCCAAATCGTAGGTTTTTTGTAAGATATGATCATATCCCCCTGTGTATCATACTACTGTTTATTATATGTGTCGACAATAATAAGTTGATTCGTGCCACCAGCGCACACCATTCAATCTGTGTACGTCTCCTTTTATTTTTGTTTATGATTAGTCTCACAATTAAGGTTACCTACTCCTAGTCACACACAGGTTACTAGATATTCTTACCCGTCGCAAGTGTCGTACGGCCAGCTAGCGAGAGGACGTCAATAGCTCCGTCCGGTGCGCATACATTTGGTAGCAGAGCGTGGTTAGGAACCTTATGGGGGGTCCCAGCCAAGCGGCGTAGTGAATTATCAGCCTTTGTGTGACATATAGCTACTTGTAATCGTTCAAGATGGTCGAGACCAAGAAAGAATTCGCTGAACGCGAGGAGCGCCGTCGCGCGATCGCAGCCCTGAAGCGGGAGTCCGCGATTGAGGGTATAAAGGCGGTGCATGCCATGATACCACGCGCGAATTCCGAGCCGGACTTCGTACCCGAATTTATTTTAAATGTTGACGGGTTAGATGCGGGGTGGTCTCAGTATGAAGCGGAAGATAACAGTACGGTTAGGTTAGGTTAGGATTTATAGGTAGGTGGAATTAAGTAAAAACGTCAAACTTGGTATAATTTTGGTACTTTTTGGGTTAAATCATACACTTACCTACAAACAGCACGGGGTCCGCGATCTACCGCTGGTGAATTACCTATCTGATAATGTACTGCTGCAATTCAGAATTTTTATTCCGGGCAACAGAAAAGTTAAGATAAATCTAGAACATCATACACCGAATATTAAATAACGCATTGAACAATGTTTGAGTCATATAGAGTTGGTACATTTAACGGGAAACGAAGTGCACGGGATCAGCTAGTTTATTATCAATATTCTGGAACGTCCAAAACATGTTCAGAAAAACCATCTGGTAAATAAATTACATTATAAGAGATTCCTCATTTGAAATACACAAGTTTGCGCAGCCTACAAGCCACACTCCTTATGTACTAACAAAAAAATGGTCTTTGAGTGTGTTTAAAAATGTCAAAAACCAGAATTTGTATGATTTCATCGTTATAATAATGGGTAAAAACGGTAGGTGTTAACTGTTAGTATGGGCATGTACCAATTGCCCCCAAAAGTACCTTTTTTATACCAATTCCCCCAAACTACCTAGAGCAAAATGTACCAGTTGCCCTCATATGTAAATATATATACGATTACAAAATATAGCCCGTAAAATAGGGGAGGTAAATATACAAATAATAATTATAAATAGTACCTGATTATTATAACAAAACATAGTACTTACATAATATTATATCTAATTTTTTTTCCTATTTTTTTATTTTTGACAAATTATCAAATTGAATAATATGCCGCTTTTCATTATAATTATATTATTTATTATGCATTTTTTCTATCAATTTATACCTACTATTTTTTTTGTTGAAATTATTATAACATTGAATGTCACACAATTATAATATTTATTATTTTATTGACTTTACCTATTCATATTATTTTGTTAGTAATTATTATTTATTACAAAATACAGTGTTAGGCATATATTCCAAGCATATGCATTTTTTTCTATCATTTTTACTATTTTAAATAATTGTATTTATTATTTGTATAATTACCTCCCTATTTTACGGGCTATATATTGTAATCGTGTATACTGCATATAAATATATAATATATATTAACATGTTAGGGCAACTGGTACATTTGGTTGAGGGCAACTGGTATATTTTTAAAATCCCAATAATAGCCGTGGGGGGGGGCAACTGGTCGACACCCGTTCGTGTGATGGTCATTGAATCACTCTGTGCATATCGTGCAGTCGCGTGCACTTATCTCCGATGAACCGTCGGCCAGGAGTAGGCCTGCGCGGTTATAACAATTAATCGATTATACATATAATTAATCGGTTATATCGGTGATTTTACACCGATTAATTGTTATTTTGATTAAATCGATAATATCGATCAATCGATAAATCGAACAACCGATAAAAAATAATCACGCCATGATAAATAAATACCATCGTTACTTATATCCTATATAGTTTACAGCTATAAAATATGTTTAATAATCAGGGCTCGGGACTTATAGCACTTAAAATCATAAATATAAACGCTGAAAAAAGCGCTTAAAAACATCATTATAAGCACTCAAATAAGCATTTAAAAAACGTAAATTTAAGCAAAATATTTAATCAAAAAAAAAAAACTCTTTTTACATGAAAATGTAGGTATTAGATATAATTTGTATAACTGTGCTAACAATAATGATTAGGAAAAGTTACTAACTGAAAAATAATAAATAAATCTTTATGTTATAAAAAAAATCAAATTTCACTTTCATGATATTTTGCATTATTGTTTATGGATTTTCTGAGGGATTTTCTGAAGAACAAAATGTAAACGATATTTACAAATAGTTGAAAAAAAATTAATATATTAATTGCATGATTTAATTTTGAATTTAATTTCAATACTATCAAAAACCACTTTGCTTGATAAAACCATAAAAAAGTAGAAAAACTGGTAAAAAATAGCAAAAATAACCAGAAAAACTGGTAATAAGCTTTTTTTTGAAAAATCGTTGAAAAAAGCACTTTCCAATTTCATAATTGAACGTGTTGTAATAATACATGCACTTCCATAGCACTCTGCTATATTTTAATCAAATGCTTTAAGTCCCGAGCCCTGATAATAATATATTTTATAATTTTTACAATTATATTTAATATGTTTTATTAATTTTTTTGTCTTATAAATGTTATAAATTATTTTTTTCTAATTTCGAAAAATATTTTAATCGTTTAGATTTTGGGTGGAGCAAAGACTGTATTGATTTCACAATGATGTGTGGTTTTTTTTAAATAATTTTTATTTTTGTTTCTGAAGACACATTTTCTAGTAGAAAAAATGTAGCGATCATAAACTTCGACGGAGGTTTCTGGTAGCTCAATTGTGTGTAGTTGGTACTTTCAAAAGTAAATTCTCAGTACTTTTTTGGAAAAAAAATAAGAACGATTTTTAAAACTATAATATTATTATTAAAATAATTGTTTGATAACCTTGTAAACCAAAAAGTTAGACATGTTCGCTCAGAATTGTTTTTCATCAAATATATGTAATTTGGTAAAGTAGCTACTTATTATAATCAGATCATTTTTTACAAATTGTATAGTACCTATAATACAAAAATAATAATAATACTGCTAGTTATTTATAAAAAATGTTTAATTACGTTCCAATGCTGCTCAGAACTATTATTTTAAACTTCAATGATTTAAGATTTGGTTGGCAAGTTTAAAACAACAATATTATCCTACAACCATACTGGTCGTACTGGTTCGAAGCGAGATGAGTGGTACTCACATAGTCACATACCACATTTCCACTTACTTATTTTTATTTACATATATCTATATTCACATAGGTGTATATAGTCGAACGTATTCTGGCTGACTGATCAACGTAAAAACTAAATTCTTATAGCTAGAGACTTGACACTTTGATGGTGACTTTGTTCCATCATGTATTCATGTAGGGACACTTAGAAAGAAATATCCAAAATTCACGATGAAAATCAAACATTTTTTATTTATAAATAGTTGTCATTGGTTACTTGGATAAATGATGTAGAAACATGCATGGAACCGTCACGTGTATGGCCTTGAATAAAGAAATTATATCTTAAAACAAAAATGAGAGAGTTGAATTGTTGCTCATATCCTCAAAAACTACTCGACCGATTTTGATGAAAATATCAATTTGTTCTTAGAGATATCAGGTTAGCTTATAGAGTAGTATGAACCACGTTCGAAATTATAACAAGTGTTATATCAAATCCGTCACAAGCAAATTGTCCATCTCGGTCAAATGAGTTCATAAAACGTGAGGTATACGT